CAGCCCCCAGCCCCCAGCCCCCAGCAAAGATAGACCCAGGCATGGGCAGGTGAGTGCCGAGAACAAGTGAGTCCTGGGCCAAGTTCAGCCCTGGGAACCAGGCTGGGAGCCTCTTTGCAGCTCGGTTTTTGTTACGTTAACTAAAGGCCGGACGCCATGGTCTGTGGGAAGGCTCTGGCTTACCTGTCTACACCCAGCACCCGTGTGGTTCTAGGGCAGGACGGGAGCCCCCCTGTAGAAGCGCTCTGTGGGTCCCAGTTACTCCTCAGCTCGGGGTGGTGGGGTGTGGTGAGTGCAGGGCTGAAGGAGGAGAGGTACTGAAAGCAGTTGTCTTTCATTGTCAGATAGGAAAGTGCGGCATTTCTAATGTATAGGCAAAGTAGGTCTACTTGAGGCGGGAAGCAGACTGGGCGAAATAGAACTGTTTGCTTTGCAAAGGGCATTTTCAAGTGATCGGGTTTCAGCTGGTGAGACCTTTACAAAGAACCCTAGACAGTAAATAGCATCCTGGGGATGCCCTTTTATTTCTTTTCAAATTGATTTATTCAATGCTCAGTAATTTTTTTTAATGTATTTTATTGATTTTTTACAGAGAGGAAGGGAGAGGGACAGAGAGTTAGAAACATTGATGAGAGAGAAACATCGATCAGCTGCCTCCTGCACACTCCCTACTGGGGATGTGCCCGCAACCAAGGTACATGCCCTTGACTGGAATCGAACCTGGGACCCTTCAGTCTGCAGGCCGACGCTCTATCCACTGAGCCAAATCGGTTAGGGCTGCTCAGTAATTTTTTTAAAAAAAAATTTTAATCTTTATTGTTGAGAGATTACAAATGTCCCCCCTTTTTTTCCTCCATTGCCCCCTCCACCTGGTTCCCGCCCCACCCAGGCCTTATATGTGGAATCTAAAGCTCAGTAATTTTAAGATTCAATTAAAAATAGAAAGGAGTCAGGGCATGGGATGGCCTGGAGCATCCTGGGTTCAGTCACCACAGAACCGGCCTCTGGGCAGCCAGCCCTCCCGGGAGGGAGCCACACCCACAGAAGCAGAGCTGGGTCCAAATGGAGCCTTTGAGGACGATAACAGCCTAGGAAATCAGTTGAAAGAACAAGATAAGGGCTTTGGGAGGACACCACATGCTAATTATAGCCTCAGTGACCTCAGGTCAGACGTGGGACCCTGGACAGGGCAGGCCACGGGCCAGCCTGCATGAGGTAATGCTTTTGTGCTCTAGGTTCAGCGTATGTAAACCAACTCCAGCAGCTCCCAGGGCCTCTGAACCTCTCTCCCTGCATCTGTGCTCTGAGTTATGTAGACAAATAAGCGTTTTTAGTGGAAAGTGGAAAGTTTCACACGTAGAATGAGGGTGTGAAGTATTTGACGGTTGAACATGTATCACATGTTGGTCTGTCAGCATGTCCTTAGGATGACCTGCTGCATCCAGGGAAAGACCCGGCTTCTGAGAAACCCGGGGGCAGGCGGCGGGGAGCCTCAGTCCTGGGGGAGGAGGTGGTCTGTTTCCCAGGCCCTCGAGGGAACGGTAAACCAGGTTTGGTGTTTCGGGAGACAGCTGGCCCTCTGAGCTGGTCTGTCACCTCTTCCTGTGGCAGGTGGTTTGTCTCTCCACCCTGTGCAGCTTCAGGGTGAGCGACTTGACCTTTCTGTGCCATCGTTTCCCCAACACTGAAATGAACCACGGAAAATGATGCCCACATGTAAGGTGGGGAAACAGTGTGACTAGGACGCAGTGGGAAGCAGGGGGTGGCGGCGGGCAGGAGAGGAGATGAGGACGGTGATGGTGATGGTGATGGAGGGGGAGGACCACCTCATACTTGGGCGCCCTGCATCACTGGGTAAACCAGGCAGGAATTCTGGGATAAAATGGTACCATAAGACCAGATTAGATGAGGAGTCACAATTCCACCTCTGTGAAATTCTTCACTAGTGAACTTCTATATAAATCACTACTTATCTTATTCCCCTGGTTCTCTAAGAAAAATGGAAACTGTGTGTATCTTAATCATTCTCCCAATGTAAGAAACATGGCTAAATCAGATTTGTTTTTACTTATAGAAGTTACTGAAGGGGCCATGAAACAGGATAAAATTTAGCGTCTTCCCGGTCTCCTGTGAATGTGGGTCAGGAGCAGTGTTGGCAGAGGGCTGGCGGCCCAGATCCACTCCCCACCGACGGGCCCAGGCGGGCTGTGCGGGAGAGGAGACACCTGAGCTTCAGCCAGTTCACAGATGTCATTAAAATGTGTCTGTGTCTGTAAAGAAAACACTCGCTCTAATAAGTCCTAGAGATTTCAGAATGCTTAAAACTGTAGATTGAAAAAGAAATGATATATTCTGGTAAGATGTTAAAAGTACTAAGAGTCCTGCCCTGACCAGTTTGGCTCAGTGGATAGAGCGTCGGCCTGCGGACTGAAGGGTCCCAGGTTCGATTCCGGTCGAGGGCATGTACCTTGGTATGGGGCGCGGCTACAGTGTTTTGGACAGGTTCAAGCCTCGGACTAATGAGAGGGCACAGTCCTCTCGTGGCCACGAGTCCCAGCTGGAGGGCAGAGCCTTCCCAGCACAAATACAGCCAACAGCTCTAGCTGTAAGCTTGAACCTATGGTCCGAAAACGTGGCCCCACGTGCCTGTGTGATAGAGTTCAGGTGCTTATGGTTGAGAATGCTGTCAACATCTTGATCACGCCCTTACTTTGCCTCGTGGCATCTGCTATAAAATAAAGACACGGCTTGTGGGCGCTGGCACCATCTCCTCATCAGTGGGAGCAGCATCCCACTGAGACCCAGTGGGAGCAGCATCCCACTGAGACCCAGCTTTCATTCTCTTGTCTGTCTTTCCTTAATCCTTTCATCACCCCTACTCAGGATCACCCTTGGCTGTGCTGGCGTGGCACACCTTGGTTGTGGGCACATCCCCAGTAGGAGCGTGCAGGAGGCAGCTGATCGATGTTTCTCTCTCATCGATGTTTCTAACTCTCTATCCTTCTCCCTTCCTCTCTGTAAAAAATAAAATAAAATATTTATTTAAAATAATAATAATAATAAAGTTCTAAGAGTCCAGATCTCAGATTCTGTTCCAGATTAATAATTCTGAGGGCCAACAGGTGTGAGAGTAGGTCTTCCTTTTCCAGGCAAATGCCTGATGTTTTTACCAGATGTTCTAGGACAGTGGTTCTCAACCTTCCTCATGCCGCAACCCTTTAATACAGTTGCTCATGTTGTGGTGACCCTAACCATAAAATTATTTTCGTTGCTACTTTATAACTGTAATTTTGGTACTGTTATGAATTGTAATGTAAATATATAGTATGCAGGATGTATTTTCATTGTTACAAATTGAACATAATTAAAGCATAGTGATTAATCACAAAAACAATATGTAATTATATATGTGTTTTCCGATGGTCTTAGGCGACCCCTGTGAAAGGGTTGTTCGACCCCCAAAGGGGTTGCGATCCACAGGTTGAGAACTGCTGTTCTAGGATATTAAGACTATATTGCTGATTTCATCAGGGTCAAAGATATTTGTCTGTGACTACCAGACTAGAAGCTTCCTAGGGACAGGCTTACTCCAGACACAGAATTTATATTTGTTGAATGAATGAGTCAGTAATTAAGTGAACATTACTAGGTGAAAGCCTCATTCTTTTGTGCCCTTTTCTATTACTAAATTCTAGCCCTTTGACTTTGAAATTATCTTCTGAGTGTTAATTTGGGATTCAGGAACTCATTATTGAGCGCTTACCATGTCAGGAAACCACAGGCTTTATTTTTAACTTTTGTTTTTAATTACTAGTATATTGCTAAAACAAAATCTTTTATTTAATGTAATAAACATTATTATTTTCCATTGATTTCCAATGCTACAGAACCTCAGACATGATTGAGTATTATGTCATGCAGTGAATGTAAACCTAAGAGATTGGGATGAAAATATACTGATCGATAGGCTAAGAAATTTAGACTTTTAAGTAAAGCCCTAAGAACAGGACATGTAGTGATTTGCCCCTGTCTCATAAGACTAGAATGCAGAAGACATGAAATGTTTGGATTTAAGAAGTTTTTTAAATACTACCTAATCAAAGGAAAATGATCACTTTGCATTAATAATGGCTCTAAGAACACAAATAGTGAATCATACTGAATGCATATGTAAGGCAAAATTAAAATACAGATATTAAAATTCAGCAACAAACATTAATTGAGTACAATCTATGATCAAAGCTAAAAATATAAATTATCAGAAATTCCCTGCATTATCTACTTGTCAAATGTTAGAGTTGAAAAACCTCTTGATCCTGTGCCAAGCCCTGACTTAACAGATGGAGGAAAAGGTCATTCACTGCGGCTGTCTGCTGCAAAGATGTCCCTGGTGTCCCTGCCTCCTTGTGGAGTGGCACATTGTAGGTTCTAAAACAGTGAGTTACCTTCTCTTTAAAATCCCTTTGAAATTGAATCACCCTGAAAGGGTTTTAATGGACGGTACGAACCACTTAGTGTGCTGATGGTTAGGCACCTGAAGTGGATATTTGAACAACTTGTCTTGCCATCCCTTGTGGCAACTGCATGGACTCGCCTCCCGGCGGGGTGGGTGAGCTGGATTCAGAGAGCGGGTCTGGATTATTCTGCACCTGCGGTTCCCCAGGAGAACCATAAGATGAGTACGTCTTGGATTTGGACATCTCATCTTCCTGTGATGTCCCTGCTGATGCCTTTTGTCTGTGGGATAAAGTGATGTGACCAGGTGAAGAAAGCAAGCGGTGGGGGCCAAAGAGCAGAACCCCAGACCTGCTACAAGGCCATTGGGTCCCGAGATTCAGTTCAAAAGTACATCATCTTCTCTTACCTTTCAAAAGTCTGCTTCATGTCCCATTCTCCTATCCTGAAGTGGCTGGGAGGACACGAATTTTCCCTCATGAATTTTTGAGTTTTTATTTATTTTTTACGGGTGGCTGTCCATTTAAAGTCTATAAGGCGGTTGCTATCTGCCAGGAAACTATGTTATCAGGGCTCTAACTTTAAATTCTTGGTCCCCACCCCCTAAAAAAAAAAAAACAATTTGGAAAAAATCCCTTACTTGTTATTTGGAAAAGAAACGCATCTCCAGATTGTCTTCGCTTCTCCGTTCAAGTAGCGTCAAGCAGTGTTTGTGGGCAGATCTGCAGGCTGTTTTGTTGGCGTTGTCTTGAGAAAAAAAAAAAAAGATGGGCGTATTTTTAATTTGCACGTCTGGTTCTAGTCACAGGCCTGGGGAAGATGATCTGCCAAATGTCTGAGAGACGCAGCTCCACCCCCTCTCCTTGCACATGTGCTAGATACTGTTTTGATTGGAGACAGAACAAATCCAGATTGTCTTTTTTGACTCCGTGGACTAATGGGTTCACTTATTTTTCATGTATGTTGTAGAAAACCATTTCCAAAGGCATCAATCTGGGTTATTTACATTTTGCTCAGGATTAGCTGTGCACAAATCATTTCTGTGGAAACGACGTGTGATTAAACCATTACAGTGGGAGAAACTCGCAAAGGAATTGTCATTTTTCTTCACAGTCTGTACCAAAACATTGGCCTTAGATGAAGCGTTTTGGTTCTCTGAGGATATGTCATGTGCCCAGAGCAGGAAGGGGGTTTGCAAACCTTGGGGGTTAAGAGAATAGCTTTTGGAATCAGGTATATGTCTCAGGAATCCCAGCTTCACCTTTACTTAGTAACTCTGGGCAAGATACCAAACCTTTCTGGGCCTCAGTTTCTTGCTCTGTAAAGTAGGCACAGTGACAGGAACGCCGCTCAGGGTGACCAAGTAGAGTCAGGCCCGGCTGGCCACGCAGAGTCAGTAGCTTTCCCACCATTTTCTACAAGAGCAGATGGGTTTAAAAAACCAGAATTCTCAGTTGAGTGCAACAAAGAATATCTTGACCAATAGGAGATAAAATTATATTCCATCCTTGGAAGTGGCTGGTTTTCATGCTCTATCCTTAGAGATCTAGCAAAAGAGAAGTAACTGCCTGCTTTGACACTTGACCTGCTTTCTGGCAATGAGCACTCTCACATCCCTCCTGGCCTGTGAGTCCTTAAAAGTAGTTGCTGCCCATCTATATTTTAACCAAAACCAAGTCACCTTGAAATGCTAATCAACCAAAACTAATTTGGATTTCAAATAAGTTTCTGGAAATGAAGAGCAGCCTTCCTTCAGAAGCTACAATGAGGCTCTTGTGGATGGTTCTCCTTGGGCTCATGCTTGAAAGGATAAGTCTTTGCTCTTTCAGGGACAGATTCACTGAGTAGTGGATTTGAATTAATTAGAGGCCTTTTTTCTAATAAGAATAATGCTGTGCGTCTGGCCAATGTGGCTCAGTGGTTGAGCATCAACCCATGAACCAGGAGGTCACCGTTCAATTGCTGGACAGGGCACATGCCCAGGTTGCAGTCTCAATCCCCAGTGTGGGGTGTGCAGGAGGCAGCCGATCAATTATTCTCTCTTATCATTGATGTTTCTATGTCTCTATCCCTCTCCCTTTCTGAAATCAATAAAAATATATTTTTAAAAAGACTAATGCTCTGAGTTCAACATGGTAGAACTGAGCATCTATTCCGCAGAAGCTTTGTGTGTATGGCAGTCACCCTATTCCCTTCGTTTGTCCCTCCTCTCTCCACTCCCCACCTTCACCTCTTCTATTTTTCTGTTTTTCAAAAACGAAAAGGTTAGCACACAGAGTGGCTATTCTTTGAATTTGATGTTATCTGACTGCCCTCCTTCTTTGTGCCTGTGTTACATTTGCATCCTCTTTTTCTCTCTTCATTTCCTTTAAGCAAATTATCTTGCTTTTCCCTCTGTTTATCTTTGCAGATGCTCATGCATCTCATTTTTTAATTCTGCTGGATCTGTCTTCCAGTCTTTGAAGCACGTGGTCTCCAGCCCTTTCCTGGAACGGCCGCAGGCCTGGCGGTCAGCGCCCCCGGCCAGCACCCCTGTTCGGGCCGCTCTGTGTTGAGATGACTTCTCTCACCAGGTTGCCCTCTCTAGAGGGTGGTGGGGTGGTGGTGGTGAGGGCATGCTGTTGGGGGCTTCAGAGCCCTCCCATCCAGCTGCCAGTGGCCCGTTCTGGCCAGGCATGCTTGGAGAAGCCCTCCCAGTACGGCCGGCCGGTCCCTGCAGGGGCCTGGAGACCTGCCGGCCATCTTCCTGGTAACAGCCAGGAGGTGAAACAACTAGATGTAACTCAGGTGCTGCTGCAAAGGATGCAGCCCTACAGGCAGCTTAAATCTCTTGTCTCAAGAGATGGGTCTGCCTCCGCTGATGGTCACACACTGATTCACTTTCAACTGTTGCCATACTAGCTGGCAAGCAAGGAGCCCACCCTACATTGAACCAAAATCCAACGTACATGCATTTTAGGGAGAGAAAATCTGTCTTCTTCTGTGGACTTCGGCAGAGGAGAGGGAAACGAAACAGGAAGCAGAAAGCTGAGATCGGAGCGCTCTACCAGCAGCTGCCTCCGCATCCGCTCAGGATGGTTTTACTCCCAAGCACAGGCGTTCTTATGGCTCTGCCATAGCAAAGATTTAGTTTGAGATCATAGTGCACATAATTTTCATTGTTCCAACAAGGCAGGGGATAAAGACGATTGTTTGCCGTTTGTATGGTTCCCTTCATTTGATAAAAAGAATCATGCTCTAACTACGAGAGGCCAGAAGGCTTGGGCAGCGCTCGCTGTAGAGATGAGCAGTGGACGCGGAAGTGCTGGAGTGCGTTCTCCAGTGGGGCTGGGACATTCAGCCGGACGCTGTTCCCGGCAGCTGGTCCAGTGCCGGCCGCAGTGGCTGTCCTCGGCATTGCCAGGAGCCGTGCCTGGGACAGAAAACCACCGGGAGTCTTGGCCGTTGTATCCAGCTGCCTCCCTTTCCACGTTCTCTTAAAACCAACAGCTTCCGCGTCGGCCACAGTTGTCAAGTTCCGGGTTACCCAGCACCCCTCAGGCTCCCCAGATTCCCTTGGTTAGAGTGTTAAGTGGTCAGAGTTAGAATCCTCTGGGAGGCGGGGTGGTTCTGAAATTCACTTGTGTTTGGTTGTAGGACCTGGTTGGTTTCCATCCATTGCTTTAGGAATCTGAGTTAAGCCATCAGATGTCCGTTGCGACAGTCCAGACACCCCTGTTATTTGGGCTTATTAGTTAAAAACGCATGCGTACATTCTCTCTTTCTACGGACACACACAGGATGCTCAGGTCGAACAGTTTCCCTGCAGAGAGAAAAAAACCTAATTTCTTGTGAGTTCATGACATCTTAACACAATGACAGTGGCAGGAAGAAATGGCTGGTTGACACATAGCTAATCCCCTTGAAACGAATTTTTCTGAGAAACAGTAACTCCAAAGTGCAGTTGTGTCTGAGCCTAAAAATACAGACTGAGGCGTCTTTAAATGGTCCTCCATTAGACTTGAGACCATCTGCTTGTTTGCAGCCAGAGTATAAATTTTCCACTGTTGTGAGCGCCGTGACGATGGCACCGCTCCAGGGAGGGAGGCGGCCCAAGTGGGAGCCCGAGGAAGCGCCGCCAGCCTGCTCTGCGCGGCCCTTCAGTTCCTTTCCACGGATTCGATTAGAGAACAAAGAGCCAAAGAAAAAATGGGGTGTCTTTTCAAAACTGAGCGCCGCCCCCTCTCATCCCCTCCTGGGCTTGCAAGGGATGAAGTCTCCCTCCACCTGCCTCTGTGGCTCCGTCGGCTGTAAGACCGCTGTCAGCCTCAGGGCCGCCTGCTTTTGAAGGGTTGTAAATAAAACGGAGGCCAGTCTCTCCCACAGGAAAATCACCGCACAAAAAGGTGGTATCACAGATACGGCCCATGGTGGTGCCTCCCTCTGATCCTTAGGGTAGTCAGTTCTGAGTTAACATTGTAGTTGGACTGTATCTACCCTCCAGTTTCCTCATCACTATGTTTAAGCGTAATAGCGAATCAAAACACTGATTGCCCAAGGGCCCTTAACCAACAGCCGAGTTCCAGCCTGAACTCTGGCTCGGAGCAGCCATGGCAGCTGTCAGGTCTCAGACCCTCTGCTTTGTCCTCATCACTGAACTGAGGCCCCGGCCCAGGCGATCCCTCAGGTGCCTGGTTCTCCAGGGCAGCCCTTCTCAGGGAGACTGGGTGTACCCTGCAGGGTAGGCGGACCTCTGGCTCCTCCTGGAGGGGCTCACAGGGCAGTCACGCGATTGGCTGCCCCCTCCCCTCCCCTTCCCCTCAGCCCCCCATTCACACCCTCCCCCTAACAATGCATGTTCCCATGGCCAGGAGTGAGTCAGGGATGTCGTAAATGGAAGTCCATGTCACATCATCTCTTTGCTGTAGCGTTGTGAATTAATTTGAACTTTTTAACGACCCAGCTCTGTGGGTAACCAGGGGTGTAAGGAAGTGGTTTCCCTTGGGGGAGACTTCCGCACCCTGTCTCTAGTGGGCCTTCTGCAGATCTGGGCCGTCCGGAGTTGGCTGTCCCATGCATGATCCATCACATCAGCCCCTCCCTGTCCCTGGAAAATTCATAACAGTAACAAAATTACAGTTATGAAGTAGCAACGAAAATAATTTTATGGTTGGGGGTCACCACAACATGAGGAACTGTATTAACCCCTTCCCCTGCAGAAACGTGTATACTCGTTTTCACAAAATGTTCTTTTTCAGTCGTCGACGAGTATATTAAGAAAATATGGTAAAAAAATATGGTTTATAGGAAGACGAGTTACAAACTGTTTTCATAACCAGCATCAAAAATACTATATAGAACCAAAATAAAAAAATTAGTCTGAAAAAGAAACGTTTTTAACAAAAAAATTGTTGGGGAAGGGGTTAATTTGAACTTTTTAACGACCCAGCTCTGTGGGTAACCAGGAGTGTAAGGAAGTGGTTTCCCTTGGGGGAGACTTCCGGCACCCTGTCTCTAGTGGGCCTTCTGCAGATCTGGGCCGTCCGGAGTTGGCTGTCCCATGCATGATCCATCACATCAGCCCCTCCCTGTCACTGACAACTGGTGTTCCTGCCAGTCAGGAACGTGTGCTAGAGACAGTTCTCCCGGTGCTAATAACTTGTCAGCACAACAGTGTGGCTGTGGTTGAAAATTAGTGATGGACAGGTGGTGACGGCTCCTGTTTGGCCTCGAAGCTTTCAGTCGGGGCTCAGAGCGTTGCAGAGGCTGCCTTTGAAAATGCGGTCCTGGTCCGTTTAACTGAGCATCCCAGGTGTGTACATGAGCTGGGGTGTGCACACATCTGCACATTATGTGCTCATGGTGTTTCCAGGGTGTTTTGGGGAGCGAAGGCCCGGACTCGGCTGGACCATGCAGCCTGCTCAGGACGCGGCCCATGCAGCTCTCGGGAGCAGCAGCTCTGCGTCACCCTGTGCCCGGCTGCAGGCCCGGGTCGGGGTGCCAGAAGGTGGCCCTGAGCGGTTGCCATGGCAGGTGGATTCTTCCTGCTCCCCTGAGAGCTGCGTTTCCGCACCGGGGAGGGGGAGGGGTTTGTGTCTGTCGCAGTGGCAGCCTGGGCCTGGCCTGCTTTCACGCCGATGGGCCCCCACTTCACTGTGCTGGTTTCTTTCCCCCTCCTTTCCACAGCACACTTTCAAGAATGATTAACATAATTATTTCACCGTACCTACTGTGCCACTTGAAGTAAATTAGAGGGAAATTGTTCTTCCCCTCAGGCCCAAAGAAGTAGTAATCACCTTTGGCAAAGTAGCTGATGAAAACATAGCAACAACAGAATCCCTCGCCCTGTGTCATATAATGTAACCCGCACGGGAGTGACATCCCATCACTTGACCACAGTCTGTTGATGAGCAGCAAGTCCCAGCTTCCACTCTCGCTCAGGCAGAGGGACTGTCCCGAGCCATGGGTACCAGGGCACAGGGATCGTTTGGGGGCTGGGGGCCTTCAGTCAGTGTTGATTAAGTTGAAAGGTTCTGTGAGAAGTCAGTTGTTTGGAGTGCAGCACAGGGTGGTCTGCAGTTAAGTTCACAGGTGAGCTGGCAAGTCCTACATGGAACAGAGTCGGCTCCTCGAAAACATCGCTGAGGGTTCACCTCGGATTCAGAAAAGGATGGAGGGGTGTGCAGTACAGGGACATGCTCCTTCAATCTCAGGGGCGCGGGGCACCCCTGTCCAGCAGCTCCAACCACCCCGCTCCCTCCCCATGCGGTGATGGCCACACCTGCTTCTCCCTCTCCCCACAGCTGGAGCAGCCCCGCCCTCCTGCTGCTCAGGCAGCTCACTGTGGCGCCCAGCCCGGCCCCGTGCACCCAGATGGCCTTCCGTCTCCCCAGGTCAAGAGCAGTCGAGGCTCCTCTCCCTCGGTCCTGACGGGGAGGGAGGAGTCAGGCCCGGGTGTGGAGGAAGGCTGACGTCATGGGCTCTTGCCTGACACCTGACAGCTGCTGAGTGTGCTGTGTTTCTCTGGAACATTGAAAATCTCTTGTGACCCCCGCGACTTCTCTGCAGGGCTGCGGGGTGCCTCTGTGCACACTTTGAGAACCATGGCTCAGGGTCCCCCATGTGCTGGGCACTCACTGTTGGCAAGGTCCAGTGTGCAGGCTGGGCAGCGAGCGGAGGGAGAACTTGGCCAACAGCAGACGGCACCACTGAGCCGGATGAACCGGAGGCTCCGCAGACCCCCTGGGGTGGACAGGGGAGGCGTGTGGAATCCTGGGTGGGTGTGGAAGGAGGCGGTTTGCCTTGGAGTTGCCTGGAGCAGAACTAAACCCTCAGGACATGGCGGCCGAGTCTTGGTGATGGTTTGTGGGAGGGCATTGGCTTCCCACTTGAAATGACAGTGACAGTTATCTCAGCGCCATCAACAAGTCCAGCAGAGGGTGTTCGAGACGGTGCCCCCAAACCGGCTGGTGCCCACAGCACCTGCTTCCGTGGGCACAGGGACCTCCCTCTCAGAGCCCTCTTCCTCCTCAGTGAAACGGGGTTAGGGTGCCACTTTCTCGGAGCCACTGTGCAGATGAAGATGACATAGCAGTGCCCGAGCCCTGCACTCGCGGAGTGTAAGCGCACCCAAACCTGCATCTGCCAACGACGGCCCTTGGACGCGTCTGAGCCTGAGGGGAAGGCTGAGAATCAGAGGGAGATGTTGTACTCACCTCACTTATCACATCTGTTACACAATCCTGACCATGTTTCCATGCACGGGAAGGACTCCGTTCTGTACTTAGAACAAAAGAGCCATCGTGTAGCCTCATCGAAAGTTCAGTTCACTCATTTTTCCAACCTGAGAACAGTCTGGGATATTTTGTAACCGTCCATTTTGCCTGAAACAAATCGGACCGTGAATCTGCTGGTCTGTGAAATAATTGAACAAATTAAAAACGTGTGTAAACAGCCAGACAGAATTAGCGAGGAGTCGAGCGGAAGCAGAACCCGTTAACAAAAGGGAGTCGTGAATTGTATTTGCACCGTATTTTTGTGTTTGCCTTCTCCCTCCTTTTAAAAGCTGTAATGTGTCTTCATGCAGAGTGATTTAATGGCAGGGCTTTAGCCTTGATGGGAACCTGCAATCTTAGCGTTTTTCTTTGTTTTTGGAAATGGAACTCCGTCTTCCTTTGGACCATGAATGACCACAGATGCTGGGAAGTGGGCATTTGCCACTGCTGGTTCCTGGTATTTCACCCTGGCAGTTCTCTGTAAATGCTGCAGCATTTACTTGGGGGGAAAATACTATGGAAACTAAAAATAAATAAATAAGCAAGTAAAATAAAGATGTGCGGGACCAAGATTGTAGACGCTTTTAGGACGAAACAGAATCTCTCAATATTGTTTTTAAAAACCTCGTACTGTAAGTACTGGACTAGACATTGACATACATACGGATGTACTTCGGTTCTGAAAAACAGACAGAGGCAGGCTGGAGACCATCCTGAAAGATTATGAAGGGAAAGAAAAGTTCTTTGCAAAATCTGCAGGCCTGCCTTGCGGGTAACAGCATCCCTGCTCCCCACCCGGCCATGCTGGCTCCCTATACAGAACCCGGAGTTGGAGCTGGTCTCCTACAGACATCGGGTTTCACAGACAGGACGGGAGAGAGCTCAGACTTGCCCAGCCCCCAGCCAGCCCGTTCCCTCGGGCAGCATCACCAGCTGGTGTGTCCATGTGTCCAGTTCTGCCTGCTGTCTCTGGGCATGGCTCCGTGAGAACGCGAGTCCACACATCCCGAACACTTATTACATCGGCTAGGACTTCCTAGCACATACTCCATTTATTCCTGCCTCTTCCAAATCCCATATTTTTAAACAATGGAAAATAAAGGAAAAGCATAAATTCACTTAAAATGTTGGAGAACAAGAAAGTGTACCATCCACTAACTTAAAAAAGGTGGAGAAATTTCTGTAAAATGGGAACAGGAAAAAGTTTGACAGAACTAGAGCTGCAGTCAGTTGCTGCACCTGTAAGGGGGACAAGACCGAGAATGAGAGAGAAGGGCCAGTGCCCCAGGCGCCTTCTCTCACCCCGGCACCATCGTTCCGTACGCTGGCATCGCCTCCTGGTTGGTGTCACCAGCATGGGCAGCGAGTCCGTCAAACGTGAAAACACACGCGAGCACAAGGGGTGTTTGTTTTGTCGTTGTTTTCTATAAATTCTAGCTGGTGTTCTTGCTAGCCAAGAAGGTCCAGCCTTGACGTTTTGGAGGGGATTAAACATTCCTGCGCAGGATGGAAAAAATCCAAGAAGGAAGCCAGGAGAACACACGTCCTGGGAAGGCCTCGGTCAGGAGGCGAGAGGGGAAGAATGCGACACAAGGGAGAAGGAAAATTCGGAGCTACTGGTGCCGTGTGTATGACCGGAAGGCTTCCCATTGAGGGTAAATCTGGACGCGCCAGGGGGAGCTGGACAAGCAGAAACATTCCCAGGTCACAGGAAGTCTGCTCCTGCCCACAGGGGCCACGGTGCCTTTGCCGCCAGGCAGGGAGGATGGTGCCGCTTTGGCACCTGTTTCTAAGATGTGAGAGCAAATCTGCCAACGCTTACCAGCCCTCCCACTTCCCCTGAACCTCCCCTGGCTCAGGAAAATGAAGTGTGATGGAAACAACAGTTATAAAACCCTGTGAGCGCCCACACCTTTGCCTCCCCCGGAGTGTTCTTGCTCGACTAGCTCGGTCCCCAGGCCTGTGGATGGACAGAATAATTCGGGGTTGGTGGGGGTGGAGAGCACAGGCGTGATGGCCTCACACTGGAAAACGCAGGTGGGAGGGAGAGAGCTGGAAAGGCAGGAGGGATCAAGGGCTGAGCCGGCCACAGGGGGCTCCGCTCACAGGAGGGAACTCAGGTTGCTTCTCTGCTGAGGTCTGAGCACGGGAGGGAGACCTGGTGTTGTCTGTGTTAGGGGTGGAGGCTCTATAACCGAAAGGAAAGGGAGCCAGTAGCTGCATGGAGTGTCAGGGAGCACGCTGTGGGGTCCAAGGGAGGCTTCGGATGTTGTTGTGTAACAACCAGTACAAAGTACCACGATACACGAGGAGAATGAACTTGTCAGGAGTGATCAAGAGACCCTTAAGTTCTAATTCACAGGAGAAAACCATAGGCCCGGACAGAGCCTTCAGACCAAGCACTGGAAACAGCAGATCTGACACATTTAGTTGAGAAGGTGCCCAGTCACTTACAGGAGAACCCAAGAATGACGAGATTCAGAAACTTTCAGAGCCTGGAATATTTCTGGGTTGCTTCCATATAAAGAATAACAGTTATTAAAGTGGACTTGAAGGGCAGTGTGACAATCAGTCCCTAAATAGACCTGCCCAGGTTTGGGGAACCGCCCGTGACATCATGAAGGGACTGGGTAGGCCTTTCTAGTTCCCCACCCAGACATTTCCAGGATGTTGGCTTTTCACAGTGGTCACAGGTGGAGCGGAGGAAGGTGGCTTCTCTTCAGTCTCTATATTAGGGAGAAAATCCTTGCCCATAGCCCTAGCAGGTTTCCCTCAAGCCCCACTGGCCAGGATTTAGTTATTAGCTCATGCCCAGCTATTGGGGGGCCTGACAAAGTACCTGGCATTTGTGACTTCTCAAGTGAACGTGGCGGGCGGCGGGCAGCTACCCCTCCAGGAAGGAGGAAGCAGAGGAAGGCATTGAGCGGCAACAGAAGGGAATGCATCTGATAAGTTAGTGTTTGCAGTGAGCTCGGAGGGTCAGAAAAGTGCACCCCCAATGGGAGAGGCATGACATGAAGACGCAAAGAAAAGATGGAAAGGAGGTGGGCTGCGCTGGATGAAGACTTCAGTGATGAAGGGCAAAAGGAGAAGTTAGCCCAGCAGGCTTGGCTCAGTGGTTGAGCATCAACCTATGATCCAGGAGGTCATGGTTGGATTCCTGGTCAGGGCACATGCCTGGGTTGGGGGGCTTGACCCCAGTAGGGGGTGTGCAGAAGGCAGCTGATGCACGTTCCTCTCACATCCACCATGTTTCTGTCTCTATCCCTCTCCCTTCCTCTCTCTCTCTCAAATAATCTATAAAAACATGAAAAATATATTTTTTGAATAAAAAATGTAAAAAGGGAGAAGTTAACATTTAATCAAAATAAACTGAAGGTTTCACATTTTCATTGGTTTTTAAAAATCAGTCACAAAGAAGGAGAGGCAAAAGAAGTCTGACCAAATGAAGTCCCTGTGAGAGAAGCAGCCTGTCTCCTTGGTTGCAAGTTCAGACGGGCTGGAAGCGGGGCTGCCAAGAAGCTTATGTAACCGGAGGCCTCTGCAGAGAGCACAGTTCAGAACATAGGGGCGCGACCCCAGGCCTCCAGGGGCTCAGCCCTGGCCACCTCTACCCCAATCCCTTTCCCTGGATTTTTCCGCCACCTGCATGCTTTGGCGCCACACTGTCACTGCTCAGAAAGCCCTTTTCGGTGACGGGGACGGCTCTCAGTCAGTGCTTCCCCCCTTCCTCAGCCTTTCCTGACCCCCAGCCCCCTGGCCCCCAGCTCCCTAACCCCAGCCCCGTGGCCCCCAGCCCCCTGGTCCCAAGTAGAATCACTCACTGCTGCCTTGTTTCCCCACCGAGCTCCTGCCTAGCCCTTACCAGCCCCTCAGCCCTGCACCTCTGGCTGCTGGACCCAAGCCCTACTTCAAGGGGCTCTGAGGATGGCTGGTGCCTGGCAGGAGTGGGAGATATTCATGGCTGCTCTTGGTATAGAGTATTGATAAGTGAGGGCTCCAGCCGCTTCTGGGCACACGGAGTGGTGTCTCCATCTCTGAGGTGCCTGCCCCTGGGTCTTTTCAGTGCAGATTGGCTTTGAGCGGGTCTGGGGTGGGGCTCCCAGGAGAAGCTGGGATTTCCCCAGAGCTCCCTGCGCAGGCCCTGAGGCAGGGGAGTCAGTAGAGGTGACTTCAGGGTCTCATCCAGGTGTGTCAGCCTGGTGGCCAGAGGCCCTTGTCTCCCATACCCCTCAGGGCCAGCTGCAAGCTCTGCACAGCAGGCAGCGTAGTCAGCCAGTGGTCAGTCACCCAGGGGGGCTCAGTGGGGACTTCCTTTCCTGAGGGGGAAGAACAACCCCTGGAGGGCAGGAATGAGAATTGGCCGAGGTCCCTTCTCCCTGCTGTCACGCTTGGTGGTGGCATTCGCCCCTGATGAGGGCTTTGCTTGGAAATAGCTGTCCTCTGCCTGTGTGGCGGCCTCTCCGCTCTGACTCGCCGCTTCGCTCGGTTCCCTTTCTGTCCAGTATGTTTTCCGCCTGTGGACGGCCTCGCTTCCTCCCGCCTGGGACCCGTGGCTGCGGGAGTGACCTGCTTCCCTAACACACTGAGGAAGTCTGTGCTGATGCCAGTTCCTTCCTGAAAACAAGAATGGCCCTTCCCTCCCAGTGGTCCCCGTGCCCTGTGAACTAAGCCGACATAAGTAAGAGCGTTTCTCCACGGGCTTTGCCAGGGGATCCTCTGGAATGCTTGGTCCCAAGGGCACAATAGGCACACACCCCCATCCGGGCACAACTGCACGAGTGTTTACTTGGTGCAAGCTTGTTTGTTGGACTTGCCAGCACAGCTCATGGAGATGTTGGTTTGCTTCCCCATCCAGAGCCACTTAAATTCACTGCATCAACTCTGGGCTTTGCTTGGTGACACAGACTGACATCACCAAACCCTGGCCATGTGCTCCTAAAACAGAGTATTCTGTCTCCTCATCACAGAACGACTTGCAGGCCATTCAGGGCAACAGGCAACATTCATCTATTTCATGGCTTTTACCAGGTGACTCCCTGTTAGCTCATAGCTCGCCTCTCCTGCTCTCCGTTCTCCTGGCTGCACACAAGAAAACAGAAGTCATGGTAGAGGAAGAACTAAATATTTGAAGGCATGTTTAACTCATCAGCGATGACAAGGTTCAGCTCCTGTTTCTGGTAGTGAAGCAAGAATGTAGGGTTCGGGCACTCAGAAATCATGCCTTTGGGTTGGAAACTGCACGGCCGTCCCAGGCCTGCGCTGGCCAACAGCTTACCCTAAAGGGCCACTGTCATCTCTTCCCCAGAGGTCGCACTGCAGAGAACACTGGTCGCAGGGGCTAGGCACCATCTTTCTAGAGCTTTCCAGGTGTTGAAAAGTGTGTGATGGGAGCAGAGGAGGAAGCCCTTGCTGCTCTCAACGCGTAGAGACTTGGGAGCAGGGACTAGAACAGGGGTGGGCAAACTTTTTGACTCGAGGGCCACAATGGGTTCTTAAACTGGACCGGAGGGCCGGAACAAAAGCATGGATGGAGTGTTTGTGTGAACTAATATAAATTCAAAGTAAACATCATTACATAAAAGGGTACAGTCTTTTTTTTCAATAGTTTTATTCATTTCAAGCGGGCCCTAGTTTGCCCATGGCTGGACTAGAACCAGCAGAGCCGGAGTGAGGAGGGCACTGGGCAGGCTCCCTCTCCGCTGTGAGGTTCGGAGCCTTATCAAGTGCATTCCATCGGCTCCTCCTGCCTGGCACACGCCGCACGTGGCTAGAATGACAGCACTGTGGTCCTAGCTTTTATTCTCTTCCTGAATTCACTATTTTTTAAATAACACAGCTGGATTTAATAATACTGTCCTCCCCTAAAGAACCCAAATCTAAGTTTCCCCGTGCATGTGGGACCTAAGAAAAACCCCCAAAGAGCCCTTGGAATATGGTCAGAAACAGGAATGAGCGTGTTCGTTTGCACACGCCATCTCTGGGCCTCACC